CAGTCACCCAGACTGGAGAGCAGCGGCCGCTCCCAGCCACCACAGCCTCGTCTGCTAGGCTCCGGCGATCCTTCCGGCTCAGCCTTCCGAGTAACCGGAATTACAGGCATGCGCTACCATGCCCGGCTGATTTTTTGATTTATTGTAGAGATGAGGTCTCGCTGCCCAGGCGGGTCTCGAACCCGCGGGCTCAGGCAATCCACTCACCTCAGCCTCCCAAAGGCGCGGGATTACAGGCTGAGCCACCGAGCCCGGCTTATCTCTTTTCTTAAGTCTAGTAAAATGTGTTCCATAAAGCTGAGAGTGCTGGTGTTAGGTGCATATATATTTAAAATTGCTATATTTTCTTGTTAGATTGATCTCTTTATATAATAAACATCTTTGTCTTTTTTTACCATTGTTAAAGTTTATTTTATCTGAGAATGGCTACTTCTGCATGGAATATTTTTTCCCACTCCTTTACCTTGAGTCTATACAAGTATTTGTATATAAAGTAGGTCTCTTGAAGGAAGCAGATATTTGAATTGTGTGTGTGTTTTTTTTTAAAATTCGTTCTGCCCATCTATATCTTTTAAATGGGGCATTGAGATGACAATTTACATTCAGGGTTAATAATGATATGTAAGATCCTATTCCATTCACCATACTGGTTGTTACCTGATTGCTATTTTTTTCCTCTTTTGTGTTGGTATTCTATATGCCCTGTGAGCCTTATAATTTCCAGTGTATTTCTATTGGTGTGTTTTGACTTTTTGCTTCAATATTTAGAACTCCTATCAGTATTTCTTGTAGAGCCAATCTAGTGGTGACAAATTCCCATAGCATTTGCTCGTCTGAGAAAAATTTCATTTCTCCTTCATTTATAAAACTTAGTTTTGTGGAATACAAAATCCTTGTGAGACTGTTATTCTGTTTGAGGAGATTGAAGATGGGGCCCCAATCCCTTCTGGCTTGTAGGGCTTCTGCTAAGAAGCCTGGTGTTAGTCTTACAGGTTTACCTTTGTAAGTTATTTGACACTTTCGTTTCACTGCTTTTAAAAATCTTTCCTTCACATTAGAGTGCATATATATATATGCACTCTCTCTCTCTCTATATATATATATACACTCTATACACATATATTATATATTAGTATGTACATATATTTCCTTCACATTATATATATATATTCACATTATAATATATATACTATATATTAATATATGAGGATTAAAGGCCTTGGGGAATGACCTTTTTGCAATGAATCTTCCAGAGGTTCTTTGGGCTTCTTGTATCTAGATGCTTAAGTTGCTGGCAAAGCCAGGAAAGTTTTCTTCTATTACTCTCTCAAATAGGCTTTCCAAACCTGTTTTCTCTTTTTCCTTAGGAACACCTGTGATACTTAGGTTAGGACATTTTACGTTATCCCACATTTCTTGGAGACTTATTCCATTCTCTTGGTTCTTTTTTCTTTGTTTTTGTCTGATTGGATTAATTTGAAGACCTATCTTCAAGGTCTGAGATCCATTATTTTACTTGATCTAGTCTACTGTTAAAACCCTCCACAGCATTTTGCATTTTCCTAAACAAGTCTTTTATTTCCAGAAATTCAACTTGATTTTTTTTTTAAGATGTCTATCTCTTTGAAGAATCTTTTTTTCTTTTTCCTTTATGTTGGAATACCCAGAGAACTTGGGTAATCCCCACATCCCTGCCCACCACCTAGGTCAGCTGGGCACTTCCCATGGAGCAACACAGGCCACATACTTATGAATCTCATGAGCAATTTTATAGTCAACCTTTTGAATTCTATTTCTGGAATTTCAAACATTTCATTTTGGTTAGGGTCTGTTGCTAAAGAGTTAGTGTGGTTTTTTGAGGGTGTTGAAGAACTGTTTTTTCATATCAGAATTATTTTTCTAGTTTCTTCTCATTTAGGTAGACTATGTCTTCTTATTTGAGGTTGGCAGAGGGCTGGTATAGGCACTATAAGGTTCTCTTGGTTAGTTATACATAGCCTTGGTGTTATAAGTTTCTTAATTTATAGCTGTGGTGGTACTGTGCTGGGCACCTACAGGTGTTCAAGGCCAGGATGACTTGAATTGTGGTGTTATCTTAGGACTGGAACAAGACTTTCACCAAAGTTGAGGCATTCTTTCAGCTGTAAAGGGCAGTGCAAGTTGACCTCCAGCCAGGAGGGTGCTTGCAGGAGACAGCCAGCTGCAAAGGTGGCTGTGTGCTTCCTGTTTGGCCTGTGTTGTCCTATGGGAAGTACCCAGTCAACCTAGGATGTAGGTAGGGCTGTGGAGATTACCCAAATTCTGTCTTGAGCTTTTGAGGGAAGTATATAACATTGATAATTTCACTGTCATTACCATGGGGATTACAGTTAAAGTCCTAACGTTATAACAATCTAATGCGAATTTGTACCAACTTAACTTCAGTAGCCTACAAAAACTGCCCCTACACAGCTCCATTTTCTCTTTGTTATTGATGTCACAAATTATATCTTTATTCATTGTCTGCCCAGTAACAAAGATTAACAAGTTTTATGTATTTGTTCTTAAAATCATGTAGAAATTAAGCATAAAGTTTCAAACCAAAACTAAAACTGGTTTTGATAAAATGTCGATGTATTAACCTTTATTTGCCTTTATCTTTATTTATTCATCTTTATCCTTGCCTGTATTTACCTTTATCTTTATTTATTCATACAGTTTTGAGCTCTATTATCCTTTCATCTGAAGGACTCCTTTTAGCACTTTTTGAAGAGCAGGTCCAGTGGTAACAGACTTTCTGAACTTTTTTTATCTGGGAATATCTTAATTTCTGTCTTATTTATTTATTTATTTTTGAGTTGGAGTCTCACTGTCACCCAGACTGGAGTGCAGTGGCCGCTCTCGGCCACCACAGCCTCGACCTGCTGGGCTCTGGCGATCTTTCCACCTCAGCCTTCCAAGTAGCTAGAACTACAGGCGTGCGCTACCACACCCGGCTAATTTTTTTTTTTTATTGTAGAGATGAGGTCTCGCCTGCCCAGGCGGGTCTTGAACCTGCAGGTTCAGGCAATCCACTCACCTCAGCCTCCCAAAGGCACAGGGTTACAGGCTGAGCCACCGAGCCCGGATTCTATTCTTATTTTTAAGAATAGTTTTGCTGAATATATAATTTTCAGTTGATAGTTTGTTCTTTCAGGTACTTTGAATATATGAGTCCACTGTCTTCCAGCATCCAAGATTTGTGATGTGAAATCTGCTGATACTCTTACTGAGGATACCATGTATGTGATGGTTTCTCTCTTGCTGCTTTCAAGATTATTTTTCTTCAACAGTTTGGTTATGTGTTGGTGTGGGTCTACTTGAGTTTATCCTACTTGGAGTTTGCTGAGCTTAGTGGATTTGTAGATTCATATCTTTTATCAAAATTTGTAAGTTTTCAGCCATTTATTTCTCAAATACTCTTCTGTCCATATCTCTCCTACTTCTAGATCTCTTACAATGCATACACTGGCTTACTTGATGGTTTTCTACAAATCTCTGAGGCTCTGTTCACTTTTCTTCATGATTTGTTATTTCCCTTTCTTGGACTCAATAACTTCAATTGTTTATCTTCAAGTTCACCAGTTATTTGTTGTACTTAAATCTGTATCCCACTAGTGGACTACTCATTTCACTTATTGTACTTTTCAACTCCAGAATTTTTTTGTGGTTATTTTTTATAACTTCTGTTTACCAATATTCTCATTTTATTCATATATAATTTTTATTTTTTTAACTCTGTTCATATCTTCCTTTAGCTGTCTGAACTACTTTACAACAGTTGCTTTAAAGTCTTTGTCCAGGAAGTCCAAAGCCTGTGCTTCCTCAGTTTGTCAGTTTGTTTTTTTCTTTGAATGGATCATACTTTCCTGTTTCTTTGTATACCTTGTGATTTGTTGAAAATTGGATATTTGAATCTTACAATTTGGCCGCTCTGAAAATCAGATTTTTCCTCTTTCCCAGGGTTTGCTGGTTTATTTCACTTTATTTTTTGTTGTTGTTGAAAGACTCTCTATGCCAGAGTTAATGCTGAATTAAAAGCTTCAGGTCTTCTCAGGTCTTTTCTGAGTCTATACCTTTCCCTGGGCATGTGTAGTGACTTTCTAAATTGCTTTTTGCTTTTGAATGTCCAGTCCTTAAATACCTGGCTCCCTAAAGGGTAAAAATGAAAAAACATAAAACAAACAAAAAATCATACTGGGTGTGGTTTGTGTAAATTCATGGAAGTCACTTCAGCTAATGGATGCTGAAATACCAAACTCTATTTGGAGGACAGATCTTTATTGCTTATGTTGGCTCCAGCAAGCCACACAAGTAACATAAGCACAGCTATCTACCACAGAACTGTGGGTTGGGAGACTGGTTGCCACTACTACACTTAAAGCTAAAATTGGCCAAGATTAACTGCAATTTATCAGCCACTGTTATCCCTGGAAACTACATTTAAATAAGACTCCAGACAACATAGTTACTTCAGACAGTTTCTGCCAGTACAGTTGTCTAACTGGGAAGATAGATTCCTGGAATATCCTACTCCACCACCTTCCTGAGGTCATGCTCAACAATCCATTTTTAAATCTTAATTTTTACAATAATTTAAATATTCATCAAAATTTAACTACTAAAAAATTACAAAAATGACTAACATTCATATACGTATAACCAACCAAACTCATTGTGAAATGTCTTTTTAGACTAGCTTTAAAAATTGCACGTAACTTTATAATATTTATAATGTGTTTATTATGCTGAAAAGTTGTGTTGCTCCTTTTAAAAAAATGAAACAAAATCATGCTGAATCATTCTGAATCTCAGATCAAGCAAATCAGAAAACTATCCTACATTCAGTTAGAAAAATAGCAGGAATTACAACCCTAGAATGTTTATAATACCAAAGCCCATTTTCTTTCTACTAATTGCATTACATTTTTTTGTACCTAGATTGCAGTTTGAACTGGTAGTTATTATGTACAATGACTTACATAGGCTATGAAGCCAGAGCGGGTTCAAATTTTGACTCAATGCCTTAATAGCTGTGTGACCTTGAAAAGAATACTTTTGTGACTCTGTTTCCTTATCTATGTAAACTGGAAATAACATTATCTCTCAGTATCCATGGGGGATTGGTTCCAGGACACCCTTGTGGATACTAAAATCTGTTAAAATGGCGTACTATTTGCACATAAACTATGTACACCCTCATGTTACTTTAAATCATATTTAGATTAATTATACTACCTAATACAATGCAAATAAGTGCTATGTAAACAGATGTTAAACTGTATTTTTTATGTTGATAATGTTTTTATAGTATTTTTTTTCAAACATTTTTGATTGGCAATTGGTTGAATCTGCAGATGCAGAACCTGTGAACATGGAGGGTCAACATGCTTCCAAAGCATGGAATTGTTGTAGGAACTCACTGAAGTAATCTATGTAAAATGTTTACAGTAGTATCTTGTTAATTGTTAGGATGTTAATTATTATCTATAAAACAAGGGGGCACTGAAGTAGAGACTCTATAAGTTAATTTCAATAATTAGGGTTTCAAGATTTAAACTACTCATTATTCTTCAATAAATAAAAATAAAGGTCTCAAGGCAGCAGAAAAACTTGAATGATATTATAGTGATACATAATAATAAAACAAAAGAATTTTACTGGAATTTTGTCATTAAGAATTTTTGGTGCATTGTTCCACTTAATGTGGTATGGCTTACCTGTTTTTAAATTAAATAAATCTAAGTTTAATTATTCTCAATAAGCCATTATTAGGCCTTTAGAATATATTGGTATATGTGAATAGAAAGTAATTAATGATACAAAGCCTAAAAGAAACAGCCTCCTAAACATGCTGTCCTTAATATTTTAACTCCTTAAGAGTGACAGAAATGTTACAGTTGCCAACCAATACCTGATATAAATATAAACCACTAAGTGATTTAAAAGAAAGGAACAAATATAAAATGCAAATAGAGAGGGAGCTTAAATAACAGATTTGATTACATAAAATTTAAAATATTTACCCTATCTTTCTTTTTTTAAATGTCGTTGGGAAAAAAACCTCCCTGAAAAACATTCTACTGAAAAACAAGACAATAATTAATCATCTCGTATGCTGTGATATATCAAGTATTTTCAAAATGCTACGTTTTCCAAAGTTTTCAGGAAATTTATTTGAGCCCCCATTTCCTTAAAATGCTGCAATAGCATAGGGGTCTGTGTTTCAGTAGAAGTCCACTGTATTTCAATGGTAGGTACTATGCAACTACATTATACACTTACATCAAGAAATAATGTATATAAATAATAATATAAACAAATAATGAATACTGATTATTTGTAATATTTTTACCAAAAGATCAGTAGTTTCCGAACTATCTGAATTAACATCAAAGTCAAAGACCGTTTTTCTTTTTTTATTACTTTCTTCAATGGGCATATTATTGTTCTCTCTTTGCTGTATTTTCAGTTTTGTTGGTGTCTTCACTGTATATGCCTATCCAAAAACAAAAAACAAAAAAAATTATTGCATCAAATAAAGCATGTTATTAATAAATAACTTAATAAATAATTTCAAGGCAATTTAAGTCTTTAGTAATCAAAAATTTCCATTATTATCAGCAGGCATATAAGGCAAAAATTAAATTTAGAAGTTTTTGATATTAGGAATATTCTGACTTTCTTCAAAAAATTTATAATAGTAGACTGTCATTGCCCTTCCCTTCAACTTACTGAAGAAAAATAAGAGAGAGAGAAAGACAGGCATACCAGCTTCAGCAATCAACAAACTTAAGAGGAAATTTAATTTTTCTAATCTTTACTAAAAGAAAGAACTGAGTAAGCTTTGCTATCACCACAAAACTTCTTGTGACTTTGTGAATAAATATATTTGCTTATTTTTTATTGGTAAAGTAATTCACATTAGGCAATCTTCAGTATTCTATATTATCCTGTAATTTTTATAATGTAAACTAAGTATCTTTATAAAGTAAGATCAGTGATATCAGCAAAATGGCAGAGCAAGAAGCTCTAAAACTTCACTCCATAAAAGTCACAAAAATACTGATAAATATTGATATAATCAGGTTTTTTTTCAGAACTCTGAAAATTAATCAAAAGCTTGCTACAACCTGGAGAGTGTCTATTCCAAAAAAAATTTTATTCAACCTCTTTAAGAACAGTAAGCTTAACAGCAAGTGTCTTTTTTTTTTTTTTTTTTTTGAGTTGGAGTCTCACTGTCGCCCAGACTGGAGCGCAGTAGCCACTCTCGGCCACTGCAGCCTTGACCTGCTGGGCTCCGGCGATCCTTCCGCCTCAGCCTTCCAAGTAGCTGGAACTATAGGTGCACGCTACCACGCCCGGCTAATTTTTTTTATTTATTGTAGAGATGAGGTCTCACCTGACCAGGCGGTCTTGAACCTGTGGGCTTAGGCAATCCACTCACCTCAGCCTCCCAAAGGCGAGGGATTACAGGATGAGCCACCGAGCCCGGCACAGCAAGTGTCTTAACTTTCCCTTGTTCCCATCCCCTTCTTTCCACTTCTGTTATCCTTAAAAAATAACAGCCCATATTCCTTGTCTAGCATGACAGCCACCAGACAGAGCAGAACAGAACTGAAACTACTTTAAAGCTTTATTTTTAAAGAACTGTCATCATTTAATCAGTCTGGTAGGTTCTTTGACAAGGTTGATTATATTCAACCTGAAACTTGACTAGTGAAAAAGCCTAGTAACTTTTCTAAATGAATTTGGTAAAGTTTATATTCTGTGTTGTGAGTATCACTGAAGTCTCTACTCGATTAGCTTAGTGTTCTGCTAACATTAAAACAAATAAAATTTGTTTATAGCGATACATAATAATAAAACAAATAGATGTGTGTGTATGTGTGTGTGTGTGTGTATGTGAGAGAGAGAGAGAGAGGGAGGGAGAGAGAGAGGGAGGGAGGGAGGGAGGACAGGGTGAAGAGCAGAATTTGTCAAAAACAATTATAATCTAGTGTTTTATCTTTGCATCAACCTGATGGAGTGATTAACAGCTGGAGCAAACAAAAGATTAACCAAAAGCTTTAAAAGGAAACCTAGGAAGATCTCCAAAGCAGTTTTGAAAAGCTCTTACATGTTCCTGAAAATATAGAAGATCATACATATGTCTAGGGCTGTGTATTTACTCAGGAAACATCAGAGAAGGACTTAAGTTATTACCACTGGGCAATCTTCACTGGGCAATCACCAGCAGGAATTGAAAGCTAAGGCAGAGTTTGTCAACTGCCTGGTTGAGTGTTAAAGGCATGCCCTTACACGTGCATAGAGGCCCTTGGCAAAGACTGGAAAATTTAGTGATTCCAGACATGTAAGGAAATATTTGTTCAAATATTAGAACACTAAGCTAATCAAGTAGAGACTTCAGTGACACTCACAACAAAGAATACAAACTTTACCAAATTCATTTAGAAAAGTCACAAAACAAATAATAACTACAATAGGCAGAAACAATAATAAACCATTGGGCTAGGAGAGAATCTTATTTCCAGAATATATTTTTTTAAATATCCAGTTTTCAACAAAAATCACAAGACATTCAAAGAATCATGAAAGTATGGCCCATACAGAATTGGAAAAAAACAAACAACAGAAAATGTCCATGGGGACGCTTAGACATTGGACTTACCAGATAAAGATTTGAAGTTATTTATATTAAATATGTTCTAACAGCAAAAGAAAATCATGTCTAAAGAACTAAAGGAAAGCATGAAAGAAATACCTCACCAAATGGAATATCAAAAAAAGATTAAACTTATCAAAATAATGAAATAGAAATCCTGGAATTGAAAAGTACAATAACAAATGAAAAAAATCACCAGAGGGGCTTAACAGCAGACATGGACAAACAGAAGAAAGAATGTATGAGCCTGAAGATACTTCAATTGATATTATTCAGTTTGAGGAAGAAGGAAAAAAAAAATGAAGAAAAACAAAGCCTTAGAGATTTGTGGGCACCATCAAAGACAACAACAATCACCTAATGACAGCTACAGAATTAGAACAAAGAGAAAAAACAATAGAACGACTGAAAAAATAATTTCCAAAACCTCACAAATTTGATGAAAACATAAAACTACACATCTAAGAATCTCAACAAACTCCAAGTGAGATAAATTCTAAGAGAACCACATCTAGACACATTACAATCAAACTGTCAAAAACCAAAGAGAAATTTGAAAGCAGAAAGAGAAAAGTCAACTCATCGTGTACAAAGGAATAATATTAACAACGGATTTTTCATCAGAAATCCATGGAATCCAGAAGGTCATGGGTTGATATAGTCAAAGTGCTTAAAGAAAAGGAACTGTCAACGGGGGGGGGGAAGGCAAGATGCCTTACTAGAGCAGCTAGTGAGCGTCTCTCTCATGCAGATCTGAAATAGTGAGTACATGCTGGCTCTTCAGGAGACCATGTGGAAGTTCATACTGAAACTCTGAAAGATGTCTGTGACCACTGTGAGCAAAGGGGACCAAACCCCAGCCACCTATGGATCTGACATGGAACCAGAAGATGATTTCCTACGAAGGGAAGGAATGAATGACAGAGAATTCCCTGGGGTTTCATACACCTCCCATAGAACTCTGCAACCCTAATCATGGGAAAGACACCTTCAGAGTGCTACCCCTGTCCAAATGCGGGAAGCTTCCCAGAATCTGTACAGAGGCACACTGTTCAGGTGCAGGTGGAGTCCAGAAAGCCCCCATTGTCTGTGAGGTCCAGTGCTGGTTACCACCACCCCGCCAAGGAAGGACCTCTCAGGACAGATTCCAAAGCCACAGACTGACCCACACAGGCACCTGCCCCATGGCAGTCCTCCACAAGGGGCATTACTCCCACCTCAGAGGCACAGAGGCAGCATCCTTGTCACACCCGCTCCAAACTCAAGTGGGAGCTGTATCAAGGCTTGACATAGGAGGCCACCAGTTTGTGAAAGGGGTGGATAGTCTTTCTGCAGCCCCCTTATCACTGTCTCTGTACTTCCCACAGGGCAGGGAAGGAACTAGGAGACAGAGACCCTCTGTGACTCTTAGCCAGGCAAAGCCCCTGCCACCCATGACCAAGCAAAAGGACTTCACCCAGAAGAAAAAGAGGGGCCCCACCCTGGCCTGATCACTACAACAGCACCGTGCTGGCCAAGCCCCCTCCAGACACCACCCTCACTGCTACCTCTGCCCCTCCCACATGTACACCAAATAAAAAAATGAAAGGAAGAGAAACTCCTCCACGGATTCCAGCAAGCATCATTGCCTCCGTCCCTGCCACCCATGGGTCAGGAAGAGAGTGAAGAGATAGACCACTTCCACGTGCCCACAGGTCTGAAACCCAGACACTTTCCCTCACAGCTGCCTACCAGGCAGGACCTCCTGACACTGCACAACTACCCTCCTCCACCTGAACACTTCAGCTGTGGCTCAGACCCTCCTGAGAACACAGCCTCCAGAGGTCACCATGGGGAGCCCCTAAATGCAGCTACCACTGCCCCTGGCTCTGCAGCCTACAGCTCAAGGACAGAATGGGGAGCTGGAGCACTAAAAGTAGCTAACAGACCATACAAAACACATCGCCCAGACATATTTTTTTTTAAAGTGAAGAAAATATTACAAAGCCCCATCCCAAAGATAGTAAGTAAGCAAATAAATAAAGCCACAGATGAGGAGGAATCTGGGTGAAACACAGGCAATCTCAAAAGTCAAACTGTTTCAATACCCACAATGGATCTCACCCACTCCCTGAGCAATCGATCCTAATCAGAATGAATGGACCCTAATGACAGACAATTAAGAATATGGATGGCAAAAAGACTCAATGAGGACTTCCAGCAAGATGGCGACAGGTCAGCCCGGTCTGTGAGACCCTCCGCGAAAGAGAAAATACATAAAGATTCTAGCTCTCTCCAAGGGGCTGCAGTTCCCATCGGCAGCCTGCTGTTCACACGGAGCTCAGCTGTCACACCGCTCAAACAGCAGGGCAGTCTGGGTGGCCCCTGCAGCTGCGGAAGCTGCCGCCACCAGCTACAGCCATCACCCCACCTGTGCCTGAGGCGACCCATGACTTCAGACCATGAAGCCCCCGCAAGCAAGATCTACTAAGATCGACGCCGCTACCACTGCCACCATCATGCCCCACCTCTCGCTGGGAGCCAGACTTGTGGGGCTCCTCCTGTGCACCGTGAGGCGGCTGCCACCACCGCTGTTCCCATCACTAGATCCCTCCCCTCCTTCGAGCAGCTGCAGATAAAGATCAACTGGAGTGGTGAGATAGCACCACATGCTGGCGATTCAAGGTAACAACACTGAAATGGGAAAAACAGAAGCTTGATAAATAGACACAGGCCAGATCTGAGTGGTGAACCGGGCAGGGAGCCCAGATCTGAACTGCCCTTCACAGCAGGCCAGGGGCAACTGACCCTAACTGTGAACAAAGTTACCAGCCTACAAAGCCAGCTAGAAATCA